ACTGTTTGGAAGAAAATGTTCTACTGTTGTTTATTAATAAAAAATCTTTCATTCACTTCCAGAAAACTTACAGTAATTTCCAAAAGCAAATAAAAGGATGTAGGGAATTACACATGGTTCTGAGTCACCTGCTGAGTCTTTGGGGACTCTTTAAACATCTGGAGTCTAGTTGATTTACGATGTTGTGCTAGTTTCAGGTGACAGCAAAGTGGGGATCACCCATGCATATAGATATATCCACTCTGTTTTAGACTGTTTTCCCATATAAGGCGTTACCGAGTATTGAGTAGAGTTCCCTGTGAGGTACAGTAGGTCCTTATTAGTTATATATGTTATTTGTACATAGTGGTGTACATGTCAATTCCAATCTCCCAGTTTATCTCTACCCCCTTCCCCCACACTAACCATGTTTTTTTTTTTAATATATGTGACTGTATTTCTGTTTTGTAAATAAGCTCATTTGTACCAGTTTTTGGATTCCTATATATGCAATATCATATGATATTTATATTTTCTGTCTGAGTTATTTCACTCAGTATGACAATCTCGAGGTCCATTCATGTCCCTACAAATGGCATAATTGTGTTGTTTTTTTACGGCTGATAATATTCCACTGTGGGCTTCCCTGCTGTCTCACTGGTAAAGAACCCCCCTGCCAATGCAGGAGATGTGAGTTCAATCCTGGGTCCTGAAGATCCGTTGGAGAAGGAAATGGCAACCCACTGCAGTATTCTTGCCTGGAGAATCCATGGACAGAAGCCTAGTGGGAGTCCATGGGGTTTCAAAAGAGTCAGACACGACTTAACAACTGAACAGTGACAGTGATCTTCTGTTGTATATGTGTACCACATCTTCTTTATCCATTCATCTGTGTGTGGATATTTAGGTTGCCTCCAAGTCTTAGCTATTAAATAATGCTGCAGTGAACATTGGGGTGCATGTATCTTTTTGAATTATGGTTTTCTCCAGGTATTTGCCTGGGAGTGGTCGCAAAGAGTCGGACATGACTGAGCGACTGAACTGAACTGAACTGAGATTACTGGGTCATATCATGGTTCTATTTTTAACCTTCTCAAGGACCCTCCATGCTGTTCTCCTTGGTGACTATATCATTTTACATTCCATTCCAGCAGTCCAAGAGGGTGCCCTTTTCTCCACTCCCTGTCTAGCATTTATTGTCTGTAAATTTTTTGATAATGGCCATCTGACAGGTGTGAGGGGATATCTCATTGTAGTCTTGATTTGCATTTCTCTAATAATTAGTAATGTTGAGTGTCTTTTCATATGCTCTTTGGCCCTCTGTATGTCTCTTCTTTGGAGAAATACCTATTTAGGTCTTCTCTGCATTCGTTGATTTTTTTTTTTTTAATATGTATTACATGCATAAGCTGTTTGTACATTTTGGAGATTAATCCTTTCTCAGTCACTTCATTTGCAAATATTTTCTTCCAGTCTGAGGACTGTCCTTTTGTTTATGGTTTCCTTTGCTGTGCAAAAGCTTTTAATTTTAATTAGATCCCGTTTGTTTATTTTTATTTCATCACTGTAAAAGGTGGATCAAAAAAGGTACATTGCATTTTATGTCAGAGGTTGCTCTTCTTATGTTTTCCTCTTAAGGGTTTTATAGTATCTGATCTCACATTTAGGTCTTTAATCCGTTTTGAGTTTATCTTTGTGTGTGGTATTGGGGTATTCTGCAACTTTACTTAATTCATTGATGAGCTCTAATAGTTTTCTGGTGGCATCTTTAGGATTATCTTTATGTAGTATCATCTCATCTGCAAGCAGTGAGAGTTTTACTTCTTTTCCAGTTTGGATTCCTTTTACTTCTTCTCCATGTCATGGCTAGGACTTCCAAAACTATGTTGAATGATAGTGGCGAGAGTGGACATGCTGCTTGCATTCCTGATCTTAGAGGAAATGCTTTAAGTTTTTCATCATTGAGAGTGACATTTGCTGTGGGTTTATTGTATATAACTTTTATAATGTTGTTGTAGGTTCCCACTAAGCCCACTTTCTGGAGGGTTTTTTTAATCAAAAATGAATATTGAATTTTGTCAGAAGCTTTTTCTGCATGTATTGAGATGATTGTATGGTTTTTATTTTTCAGTTTGTTAATATGGTGTATCACACTAATTGATTTGTGGATATTGAAGAATCATTGTATCCCTGGGATAAATCACACTTGATTATGTTATATAATTCTTTTAATGTGTTTTTAGATTCAATTTGCTAGTATTTTGTTGAAGATTTTTACATCTGTGTTCATCAGTGATATTGGCTTTTAGTTTTCTCTTTTTGCGTGTGATGTCTTTGTGTGGTTTTGGTATCCAGGTGATAGTGGCTTTGTAAAATGGCTTGAGAGTGTTCCTTCCTCTGCAGTTTTGGGAAGAGTTTCAGAAGGATAGATGTTAACTCTTCTGTAAGTGTTTGATAGAATTCACCTGTGAAGCCATCTGGTCCTGAATTTTTGTTTGTCGGAAGTTTTTAGATCGCAGTTGCGATTTTAGTAGCTGTAGTTGTGATTAGTTTTTTCCTTTTTTAAAATGTTGCTTCATGTTTCTGTCTTGGAAGGTTGTACCCTTCTAAGAATTTGTCGATTTCTTCTAGGTTGTCCATTTTGTAAGTGGATAGTTGCTTGTAGTAGCCTCTTATTTGTGGTGAGTGTCAGTTTAACTTCTTTCTTATTTCTAATTTGATTGATTTGAGCCTTCCTCCTTTTCTTCTTGATTCTGAGTAAAAATTTATCAATTTTGTTTTTCTTCTCAAAGAACCAGCTTCTAATTTTCTTTGGGGATTTATTAATTTATGTTTTCTTGCCTTCCCAGTAATTTTAAATGTGATTAATGAGGACTGTCTATGGGACCTATAGCTATGTAATGGTTAAAAATTTGTTTAAAAGTATCCAACACAATGTGAACGTTGGTTTTTATTTTTTAGCTTAAGCAACTGTTTTCCTCAAGGCTATATCTTCATGAAGCCCAAATAACTACTTAGAGTGGTTTAATAAAAAAAGTGAATAAATAAGCTCTCAGTCAGTTTAGCTGGTAAATGATTAGGTTGCAGGGTTCATTTGGTGGCTGCTCTACTTTTCAGGTGATAGTGTTGAGATGATGGTGCTGACTGTGACATGGGCTGAACGTTCTTAGAAAACAAGTTTTATTTAAGGAGCGTGGTAGAAAGGCACGTGTTTTGAGGGTCAGAAGCCTCTAAGGATTCTCAGATCTGCTGAGTAGCCTCTCTAAGTCACAGTGTCTTAGGCCTCAACTATGTGGTAGTTATTTTAAAAAAAAGAAAAATGAGTTTAACAGCAGCCAAAATAGTTTGAGCTAACAGTTGCCTATCACTTATTCATTTAATCTCCTCCAATGTCATATTCAGATGGCAGTTTAAAAATCTGCTGTTTTACGGGTAAGGGAATCACAGAGCAGAGATGTTAATTGATGGCCCATGTCATTCACCTTTTAGTGGTGAAGTCGTAATTTCATCTGGACAGTTTGATTCCAGAATCTTCTCCCTTTACCACTTTGCTGTTCTTGAGAGAATCTTAATATTCTATTTATTTGTTTATTGTTCTAAGTTATTATATATTTGCTCATTGTTCTTGACAGAATTTAAATTCATGAGGAAAAGCATGTAAAAATGCTTAGGAAACTTAATGCATTGTGAATGTGTGTTATTCTTTATTGTGTTTGCTCCCTGTCATTAGGACTGTTTAATTTAGCTCTTCTTAAAAAAAGTTGTTATTTTGTGTCAATTTCCTTCTTTGAGCCATTTAAGAAGTCTTGATATTTGCACAGTCACAAATTTTTTATTGCATTTTCAAGAGCTCCAAGTGTGTTCTAAAATTAGAGACTTCAACCATTTGATATTATTTTTAATGTTATAAAATATTATATACATGGCTTCCTTGGTGGCTCATTCAGTGAAGTATCTGCCTGCAGTGCAGGAGACCCAGCTTTGATCCCTGGGTCGGAAGGATCCCTTGGAGAAGGACTTGGCAACCCACTCCAGTATTCTTGCCTGGAGAATCCCATGGGCAGGGAAGCCTGGCAGGCTATACAGTCCACGGGGGTCCCAAGAGTCAGGTACAACTTAGTGACTAAGTCACTACCATTATGTACATAAAAATATGTAACATAAACCACTACTATTGCGGCTTTCTTGTGCTTTTTGTATAAATTCTCTTAATTCACAAAAAAGAGTAAACATCATTTTATAAAAGTAAATCCAAAATACTGCTTCATGCTTTGTTTTGATTGTAATGTTCTCTAGCAACGGAGCAACCATATATTTTAATGACCTGTCTAATTTTAATAATACTAGTTTGCACTAAGACTAACTGCCAAACTGTACTAAGTGTCAGAAATTTGAAGCTTCTAGTTTGGAAGTCAGAGCACTCCTTGCAGTTGAGTGTTGTGAATCTTCTAAGTGTGAGGACCACACACTCCTTCCGTTTAGTCGGAGAACCTGAACTGTGGTCGCTACTTCCTACTCGCTGACGGCTACTGCTGCCTGCCTAATAATTGTTTTTGGCTCCCTGTAACCTGCAGCCAGAAAGGTATTTGGATTTCCCCCTCTAGCACTTGCAAATCCAATTTTTATGTATAGCTAAGTGCTCTTAGCTTTTACTCTATCTACTACTGGGGCCTGGTTTCTAGCAAGCCTGTAACTACGCCAGATCCGGCCTATGTAATGCCGTTTGTAATGAGAAATCTAAACAGGGAATGGCAGTGAGGCATGGCAGGAATGTGTTTCCATTGGAGAAGTCAGTGTAGAGAAAAGTATAAGCAAAGCCGTGTCCAGAAGGCCCATTCAGCTGGCCAAGACGGAAGACTGATGTTATTGTACACAGGCTGTTACTGTGCCAGCCCTTCCTCACGAATCTGCTTGCTCGCTCTCTCTCCCCTCTCCTGAACTCCCCTCCTCCCCCTCCTCCTGCCTCTACTCCTTCTCCTCCTCTCCCTCTCTTCCGAGGGCTCTGCTGACTGTTTGCTCAGGTGGACAGTGACACCATTTGGAATGAGCTGCACTCGTCCGGCGCTGCACGCATGGCTGTTGGCTGTGTCATCGAGCTGGCTTCCAGAGTGGCCTCCGGAGAGCTGAAGGTGAGGTCTGGGTTGCATTAAGTGTGGGAAATCCAGGGAAGACGCTGAAACAGAGATGTTGTTGTTTGGGAATTGTGGGGAGTGTGGTGTGGTAATAAAAGGCAAGGGGCGGAGGGAAGGGGCAGAGGGATGGCCACTGAGGTGTGATAATAACTGGTCTGTAGGTAGCTGGTAGCTGATCCGGCTCCCAGGGCCTTCCTCTCCTTGGGGAGACTCTGTGGTTAGGGCACTCTGGTGTATTTTTAAGAACACAGAAATGGTGAGTAAAGCTATGGTCCAGGTTAAAAACACCCAGTCTATACATATCTGTCATGCCCTCCTGGGATTTTCTTTTGAAGCAACAGAAAAGAAAAATCTGATTACTGAGTACTGTGTATAAGCTCAGAATACCACCCAGAGAGAAGGGTGGTGGGGGCAGGGAGAAAGGTAAATATCAGAGGGGAAGGATTGGGAGGAAGAAGGAAATTGTTGATTAGAAGGGTAATGATCCAGAGTGTTTTGCCATGAAAGAACTTCAAAAATGAACTACGCTTTATTGTTCTTTTCTTTTTACGGTCTCTTCTTTTCTCCATCATGTGAAAAGAACAATGTCCAAACCCCAGCATTTCCCAGTCTAAACAATTTATAAAAGCCAGAGACCTGACAGACGTTGACGTTTTATTTGGTATTTTAACAGTGCTATTTAAAGGTATGCCATGTGCGTCTTGAACGCAGTTGCCCCAATAAACTTTGTTGGTGCTAACATAGCTTTTTAATGCACTAGTTCACACACTTCATAACGAAATCTGGCCAGTGATAGATTTGGTATTTTTAGCAATTGTGAGGCTTAAGGGAAATATATTGTAACCAACAATACTGGCACTGTGAGTTTTGTTAATCTAAAATAAAATCTAATTAGAATTATTTTTCTTTATGCCTAATGAATTTTTATTCAATTACACCTGACTATTTCAGTAGTGATTAAAAATACAGGGTAGGAATGTGCGCTTTACAGTAAACTGTCTTGTCTCAGAAGTCTTTGTTCTAGCTCTTTAAGTCAGAACCTTTGGAAATAGCATTTTGATAAGACAGTCTGTAGTAAATATATGTGTGTGTGTATATACACACATTCATGTATATATGTCTCATGTTAAGCTGACATGACTTGATCAGCTTCAGGACATTAGTTACTCATCTCAGATTTATGAGGCCATTAGTGTGGTGCTTAGTAGTCACACTTTCTCTTTGATAAGGAGCTGTTGAAAAGAAGGAAGGAATCAGCCTTATGGACAAGTTTCGGTTCTCTCCCAGTAGCACTTGAGAAATAATTCTTCCTGTTTGAGTTATGTTACTTGTAGCACTAAGATAAATTGACATTTTAAAAGAAATCTTTAAGAATCTTATTTTCAAAGGAGTTCAGATCACAGAACTATATTGTCTAGCCACAGTATTACAGTTTTTAAAAGATTATGCTGGTACAGACCCACTTGATAACAAACAAAAATTATTAAGCTAGCATTTCACAGTTTCTAATTGTTTTTTATTTTGTTGAACTTTAATAAGTAGTTCAGAAACCTTCCCAAGTAGAGTGCCCATATAGTACACTCAAAAAATCATCATCGTTATTAACCACATAGAGTGCAGAATTGCCAAATGTCTGTATGAGGCGTGTTGAACAAAAACCTAATTCTGTTTTTTAGGAGGTAGTCATTTAACATATCAGTTACAAACAAAGTGTCAACAATATATAGTATGGACATGCTGACCACCAGCTGTACTAACTAACATTGGTTGTTTATGTTAAGAACAAGGATTCATACAAATACTTTTTCTTCCCCTGGTTGAGAAATCAGCAGGTATGGTTAAAAAAGAAAAGAGAATAATAGGGGAAGAGAGCCAGCATAAAAATCGAGGAACAATGATCCAGGCTCTGCCACTTAAATGCTGTGTCACTTGTGGCAAATCATGTAATTTCTCTGGACCTCAGTTTCTTGTTCTGAAAAATCAGCAGGATAGAACTGATAACGCTGAAGTTTGTATGTGGTCTGACGTTCTGATCTACTTGCAGATGAAAAGTGGATCTGATTCTCAGTTATATATACCTTGGCATACAAAGAGTAAATATTCCAAAACTAATTTCAGCTTACTTTGGGAAATATCCTAGGCCTTCTAGCTGGTTTGTCTTTCTGATTGTTAAGCCCAAAGTGAAAGTCCAAGACAGCAGTACCACAACAAACACACTAGTGCTGACAGACTAAGAGAACGGATCCTTTTGTTGCTAATAATTTGGAGAGGCCTGTGGAAGTGCCACTGTAGATAGCCGAGAACTGTGGTGGGCCGCTGTGTGCAGGGCCCCCGTCCAGCCAACAGTGTTCCTCAGTGTCTCTGTGCATGCTGTTGCTTCAGCTGTGTCTGACTTTGTGTGGCCTTCTGGACTGTAGCCCACCAGGTCCTCTGTCCATGGCATTTTCCAGGCAAGAATACTAGAGTGGGTTGCCATTTCCTTCTCCAGGGGATCTTCCCAAACCAGGGATCGAACCCGCATCTCTTAACATCTCCTGCATTTGAAGGGGGGTTCTTTATCACTAGCACCACCTGGGAAGTCCTCAGTGTCTGCCTGTTTCAGATTGTGACTAGGCAAGTACACCTGCTGGCCGGGAGCATCAACACTCATGACTGTGGAGTCACTTCATTCAGATCTAGAAGGAAAACAGAGACTCTTATGTGAGGACACTGGTAAGTTATCCTATGATAAGAGATGTGAAAAAAGAAACACTTCAGTTTTGTTTTTTCATTTTCTGCATCTGCATTCAGTTTTCATATGTTCTACCCCGTCTTCCCAGTATATCTGTAACTTAAGGAAACCACACAGGCATAAAGACTGCATTTTGTGAAGACTGCACTCACTTTGCTTGGAAATTAGAAAAGAATTAAGAGCTCTGAGCTTCCCTAATAGCTCAGTTGGTAAAGAACCCGCCTGCAATGTAGGAGACCCCGATTCGATTCCTGGGTCAGGAAGATCCACTGGAGAAGGGATAGGCTTCCTACTCCAGTATTCTTGGGCTTCCCTTGTGGCTCGACTGGTAAAGAATCTGCCTGCAATGTGGGAGACCTGGGTTCGATCCCTGGGTTGGGAAAATCTCCTGAGGAAGGGAAAGGCTACCCACTCCAGTATTCTAGCCTGGAGAATTCCATGGACTATACAGTCCATGGGGTTTCGAAGAGTAGGACACGACTGAGTGACTTTCACTTTAAGAGCTCTGTTTCAAATAGGGTGGGCTGGATGGAGTGCTGAACTGAGAATTTGGAGACAGCTGGAGGGAGGTCACCAGACTTGTAGGGAGTGGGGACCTAGGAGATAAGAAGTGCACCCAGGGAAGGAAGATGCTGAAAACAGATTTTGTTACCTGGCATTTCTGCTTCATGTTGAGCTTGATCATGATTGCTATCCTACAGAGTTTGTCTTATCTTTGTCTAGGGCTACTGGTGGGTTAAAATAATTAGAAATATAATCCAGGCACAGGGATTGGGTGCAGGAGGAGAGGGGGACGACAGAGAATGAGGCTGGATGGCATCACCGACTCGATGGGCATGAGTTTGAGTAAACTCTGGGAGTTTTTGATGGACAGGGAGGCCTGGCGTGCTGCGATTCATGGGGTCGCAAAGAGTCGGACACGACTGAGCGACTGAACTGACCTGACCTGAACTGATGGGGACTTTCAAATTCTCCAGGTTTTAAATAGGATATGGAGGAAAAAAAAACCACACAAGTAGAAATTTTTCAAATTTACAAATAAATTGGCTATTTCTCAGATTCTGAAACTGATGACCATAAATATTTTGAAATGGTAAATTGTTTGTTGTATTAGAAAGTATCATTGGAAGAATAGTTATCTCAAAATGGTTATATTGTTCTAAAGATCATTTAAAGAAGTATGTTGAGAAATAGAAATATCTCTAAAAGATGATTTTTTTTCAAATTATAGATAGTTCAATACTTGATTCAAAAATGGTGTCAAACATGTTGTATACCTTAAAATATACAATTTTTAAAATCAGTTACACTTCAGTATAGGTTGAAAAAAATGATTCAACCCTTATCAAGGTTTACTATAAGAATTCCCTTTAATGCTATTTTGGCAATGCTACAATTTCATAATAGGAAAGTAAAAGTTGCTTTAGTTGTCTGAAAATTTTTGTCAAGAAAATTCCTGTCTGATTATCTAAATAGTGGGTGGATTTCTTTGATAGTTTGAATTAATAGCATGATATCATATTGCTAATCAAACCTGCCATTTGTTGCCTATCTACAGTGGGCTGGGCAATTTGCATGTAATCTGTCATTATTTTCAGAATGACCACCAAAAGTGGATACCACCAATAGGATATAAGCTCAGACACATCAAGTAACTTTTAAAGATACTGCACACAGTTTAATAAATGGCAAAGTTTATAATTCTCAGAATCCTCCTTTCTCTTTCAACTACTTTATAAGGCATTTCTTGTAGAGGTAGCACAAATATAAAAGAAAAAAGGAGTTAAATCTGTCTTTTTCTTATAGTCTAGTAAAATAAAATAGTCTAGATTCTCTCCTGTATAATGTTTCATACATACAAAAAGATAAGAATTGGCATTAATAACTTACAAAGCATAATAATATGGTTGGTTGTGAGCTCTTCATCAAACTAAAGAAATAGTAATTTGCTGACACTATTGAAGTTCTCTCAGTACTTATCTCATTCCGATCTTTTTGACCCAAGAGTAATCATTATTTATTGTATTTTTTAAATAGAATTAACAGTATGTTGTAGATCTTTATAAAAATGGAATTTTACTGAATGTTATTCCCCAAATTTCTCTCCCCCAAATTAAAATGTTTTAAGAATTTATGCATATGAATTATGTAGCCATGATTTATTTGTTTTCCCTCTGCATCATAATCTGTTTATTGATTACTGAACAGTTTACTTATTTCTAGGTTTGTGCCCTTTTGACCAGTGCTACTTTGAACACTTGAAGTG